TATTGAATACTCTTTTAACAGTGAACATATTTTATTATTTTAAATGATTAATAATATGATTGATGTAGGACAAAAAATATTGTTATGTCTTGATTAAATTAGTAAGAAATAAGATTATAGAAATGTCATATATCCATAGTTTTCCCACATAATACTAACCTTCAATTTTATCTTAAAATCCAAATCTATTCCAATCTTTTATTTTTCTTACCTCATCATATTTATATTTTATCAAAGTTTTTCCATTGTTTGTATTTCAAGAGCTGTTTTATTCCACATTTTTGAACTTCATTGATTTTGGAGGCTCTCCTTTACAGGAATCCACTTTTTCGTTTTCTTAAAGCTGCCAATTTTTTTGAAATTATATTTTTTCTTGATCATAAATGCAGTTATTTGTACTTATGTTTTTTACTGTGTCAGGCTTTGTTTTTACCTGTACATATTTTATGTTTAAAAAAATGTAGATATTCAGAAATCTTATTGTAATACAGTCTGCCTATCAAGATTAAGCATTTTTCAATAATTTTATGAATTTTCCAATTTTTCAGATTTTCCAGGGATTCTGTTGTAACTTTATGACACCAGTTAAGTTCACTGATGAATATAATACTCCATTCTTGAGAACTTAAATTCTATGTTCCTTATAAGACGTAGTATCACTTTAATGTGTGAAAAACATTTTTCTAAGAGAATAAAAACTAACCTTTAGGCATAGAAAAATTAAAGTTACTTCATATATAGGTACAAATCAAATAATTTTTTAAAAAGATGTAATCCACAAATTTGTTCACACTTAATTTACAGTGATCATGAATCTGTGTACATTTTCTTTCCTTATTGCACAAAGTTTTAAAATCTCAACAAGTTGTTTGAAATAAATGAACACATGATGATCAACTTGGTTTGAACTACTAATATAACACACTGTAACTATTAATTTGATTCATATTCATGATTGATTAGTGAGCCTGCAGGCATTTTGTTGTCACTTCTACGTTAGGTAAATATCATTTAGCTGATTTAGAACATACCCTACTTATCATTATATCCAAATGACACTGTGAACTTGCTAATTAGATTTTAATGCCTTGCAATTAGGGTTGATATGAGATAATATGTGTAATGTAATTTTTATCAGGATAGGTTTACATATTACTACTGTATAGCATCCTCGGAAGCCGCTTGCACGCTAACCTAAAGGTCCAGGGTTTAATCCTGGCATAGGTTGAGATTATACCTTCAGATTTTTCAACCCAGTTTCCTCCCTGTCAGTGATGCAGGTAAGAGGGGCTGACATGGAAAAAGCATCTAGTCGTTCGGATGGGACAATAAACCGAGGCCCATTGTGCTACAGACTGAGCAGGCTAATGCTGCTGTCCTGGCATAATTTCCCTCATTGGACCCTGCACAGTCGTTGCCCGTCTTCATTAGCCCACATGGTGCAGAGAAGTAGGACATAAAACTCCATTCATTTTATTTGTATAGCATCCTCATTGGATGTATGTTTCTGCATAAGCATCTAAATAATAAAATGAAATTCCAGGATAGCAGTTTAAGCCTCCTGTTTTTCTATTTCCAACTGTAGCGTACAGGAGCCTCGTTTTATTGTTGTTTCCTACTCTATGACTACATTGAGCTCTGAATTGAATTTTTTCTCTCATTTCATAAATATTCAAAAATAAAAATTTCAATTGCATGCCATTTGTCTTTAAATGTCTTTGGGTCCATAAGGTTCAGTGATTTTACATTTTAAATAGATACACTTCCCTTCCTGAAATTGACTTGAAAATTACATACTTTTCTGACTGAAAATTCTTCTCTGTAAAATCATGTTCACAAATTATAACTTTTCCAGTGGTTAACATTTTCATCAACCCATAGACAATCTAAGATTCTCAGTAGTATTTTGTAGTTGATATTTCAAATCCTTCGAAAATGATTGGCAAAATTCAATTCAGAAATCAGTGTAGTCAGAGAGTAATAAATCGGTAGGCAAAAACCAACATCTGTTCAATGGCATACATAGCCAACCAAACACAGCAAGTTCTACACGAAATTGGTCATCTTCTGTCAATTCTTTGCAACAAGACGCAGAACTGAGATGCACTACAAAGCCACTGTACCGTGCTGGAACAAAAAGTTTGCCAGATTTTATGCCATAACAGATACAAATGGTCATTTGATATTTTAACTAAACGCTCTGCTTACCTGTATGTCAAGACTCATGTGTCAGTTGTTTGGCCTGGGAACTCAAATCTTGAACGAATAAAAAATACATTAACTATAGACAAATTAAATCTGGACAACAAATAAACGTAATATTTTCACCTTTCCAATGTTTGTACACACTGCCATAGACTTCCTGCTTACGCAACGCCACCTGTCAGACACAGATCGTCTGGACATAAGACTGTTCAGGATTGCTTTTAATGTTGCGGTAATAATTATCTCAATTATTACAACTGCTATATATTATTTGGATTGTTGACAAAAATGAAAACTCGGAAATGAGATATTTTTCAGCCCGACACATAGCTCATTTACACATGAAATGTCTTGAAGGGAAGCTCATTCTTTCGCGCGTTTGATATATACCTTTGCAGCTTTTAGAGGGCATTAGTCATGGTTGGAGATCGGCGGGCCTCAACTTCGAAAATATTCTAATGTGGGAAGCCAGAGAATACATCTAACTCGATTTTGGAAGTGATTTTTTATGGTCCGGTGAGGGGCCATTGCCCAAAAATTACTGACTAAATAGGCCTACGCCTACTTTTCTGCTACGCCATTGGAGTTCGTGTAATTCAATTCATGGCTTTCGTTTCAATAAGATTTATTTTGATTTTGGCGTTCATCTGTCGATTGTTAGAAAAATTGTTAAATTTCTGATTTATACACAATCATTCAGAAAGATTGGCATTGTCTTATGCAGAACGCAAAAAGTGTTAATGCTAGTTGCATTGTTGCGTATGGCATTTCATTGGATTTTGGTACTTTGCAGCATTGTAATATGCATTTTGTGATGACATTGGCATTTTAAGGCTTCAACACGCTGACTAATTTTGGCAACGTTATACCTCCACACAATAATCCATTATTGGCTGCATACTTTAACAAGTGTAAAATTACGAAAGAATCAATTTACATGGCTTCTGTGAAAGATTAAAAGTGTCCTGCTGTTGATAAAACATTTTAGTCTCAACTTAATTCAATTTGCACTCACAGCTATACAGTTCTTTGTGGATATGTAATATTAGGAGTGGGGCTCATCGATTACCTTCTACCAATAGATCTACATGGATTGAAACACAGTTTGAAGACCCAGATTTACTTTGTGTTCAAGCCCACTTAAAGCAAATAACCCGTCCCTCTCGATATTCGTGACGTGAAACAGGATATTTCAGGCCCCTTTGTTAGGGTGGGGTCCGTGGGGGCTGGGCCCCAGCAAGTCAGAATTAAGCCCTAGCAAAACCCTCTTCAGTTCAGAGATTTATTGCCAGAGCTGATCCCCCTAACAGTCCGAAAACTTGGCACCACAGCGCGAGCTTACTATAGTGCCCAGGGCCCGTATGCAACAAATGTATGAATCAATTGTTATAGGCTTAAAAAGACAGAAGAAATTCAAGAACTACTAGAAAATGTAATACCAATATGACAAATTGTAGTAGAAGCCTCAGTGTTGAAAGGTAAATGTTTTCACTGGAAAAATGCAAATGTTTAATGCTGGTAACTTGGGGTTCATCAGTCGATAGTTACTAGTCACCAAGGTCGTCGGTGGACTCGGCGATAACATCGAGTTAACTCGGCGATAATGAATCATGGAAATAAAATGATCTTAACACGTTGTTTTGCTTTACTTATTATAAAATAGTGTTGGGTTCATTAAATAACGATAAAAGTGCTCGGGATATTAGCAGACGCCATTGTTGACTTCGTATATGGATGCATATTCATTATTTACTTATTTGAAGATCGAAAACTAAACTACACCTACGAGTTGTTACCAAAATAACGAGAGGCTTATAAATATCAATTTCGGTAATGACCGTATTTTTAAATTTTTGTTGAAATAAAATCGTCACCAATAGAGTATTAAACTGTCTTCTTCAAAGTGAATTCTATTAAATAGCGACCTTTACTAGAATGTCGATTGCATTAATGTCCTAATCGTATTTTAATGACAAATCAAGGATCTTAGATTCTGTTGCCCGCTGAAACCTAGAGTAGAGCAATATGACAGCCATTTTGACTTCCTTATCCCACAATTCCTTTTTTTTTTTTTTTATCAAGAAACAGGTTTTAAATGACAGCTTTGATTGGTTTAAAATACTACCTTTGAGACAGGCCTTTGGTAGAAAACTTCTTTAGATTACAATGTAGACTAAAAATATCAACAACAACAAAACGGAAATTGTAATCTTTCTTTAATTTAATTGGGGAACATAATTCAGTCTGAATGAATTGAAAATGTTTTTTATTGAACTCATAATTCTATTTATTCATCAATATATTCAACGTAAAAAACTCATGATAAAATACACAGATGAAATTATGTCAGATCTCATCTTAAATTTGTTAGACAACATAAAAGATAGCCTGCCGGGCACAGATTTTTTGTCAGAATGCCAATCAGCACCAGTAAGAGTAGGCCTATATTCAACCTTTTGTTTTTTCAGAACATATAAGGTTTTTCCATGACATAACTCAAATATTTTTTGTTTGAATAACAGTCATCATGCTTGAGTGATAATAAACAAGTTCACAAAGTTTTGTCATAATCTGTCAATAATTGTGACCCCTAGAGTGTTAACAAGCTAAATAAAAAACAGAAACAGCAGTAAAAAACAGAATTCAAAAATTATATATCTATTGCTTGGACATGAATACAAAAGATGAATAATTTAAAACTGTTGCTGTAGAATACATGAATATAATATTCAATCATAGTTTTGTGTCTATCTATGAAAAGACAAGTAATGATATCCAATTGCCTTCACAATCAGTTAATAGTTTCCTCTGAACCCCCCACGTCCTCTAAAACCACCTCCTCTACCATGACCACCTCTGTAACCGCCTCCGCTACCATAACCACCTCTGTAACCGCCTCCACTACCATAACCGCCTCTGGTACCATAACCGCCTCCGCTACAATAACCACCTCTGAAACCCCCTCTACCAAAACCACCTCTGAAACCACCTCCGCTACCATAACCACCTCCTCCAAACCCCCTTCCTCTACCTCCTCTATCTGCATAACTCATTCTTGGTTCCTTGATTCCTCTGTAATTTGGGCTGAAACTAAAAAAATATGGCAAGAATTAAAGTAACAATAATACTTATTAAAACCCTGTAACGCCTGTCCTAGATTAACGATAACTTTCCAGGCAAGATGGTATACGCCCACAGCAGCACTTAAAAAATAATGTTTTTCAGAGTATAAGAAATTATTGCAATAACTCATAGACCATTCATTGAAATATTGGAAATTTTCAACTGCTGTGATCATATAAATCCACGGAAAGTGTGACGACAATTTCACTCTTTCACTAAAAAATTATCTAATCATCACAATTCAAAAGGCATGATCATTGTCTCACAATAAACTTAAAAACCAAAATTAAAAAAAAATCCATCCAAAAATTGTACAACGAAGAGTGAGCAAGTAAGATATTTTCCTACCATAGTTGGACTAATAGGATTGTAAAGAGGTTTTCTCAATTTTTTATTTGTATCACGGACACTGATAGCATCAATTTGCTGTAATTAGTGATGTCATCAATTACACATATATATATATATATAAAATTTAGAAAACCTCTTTACAATCCTTTTAAGTTTTTCCATGACATTTTGTATTTTTTGACTGTTTAACTATGTGTTGTGCTAAATGGTGTCCACATTATTTGGTCCTTGAACAACTAAATTTGCATCAGTAAAAGATTTCATGAAATGGTTTGTATGAGACTTATATTTTATCAAACTTGGGTGGGTTGGGCATACAAAAATTGTACAGTGAGCATGAAATGTTAACATACATTATTCTTGCATTGGAAAAAAAAAAATAAATAAAGATATCTTGCCAGACAAAGCAATATACGCCCACTGGCAGCTTTGATTTTAAATAAAAATATTTGGCAGAACAGTAACAATTAACGGTATGAAATATTCAACTTACAGTCATACACTTCTTCAATAATATTACCAAGTTTGTCGAAATCAAGCGAGAAATGTGTCTTATAGAATGTTTACATGCTAAAAATTGTTGTTTCAGGAACAAATTCATAATAAATATTTTTCTCCTTTTCTGATTTTCAATAGGGTTATTCCTTGGGTGATTGCAAATCATCATACCAAGTTTCGTCCAAATCGGTCAAGAATTATGGCTTCTAGAGGTTTTACGAGCAATTCTGGCCGGATGGACGGACCCTATTAGGGGCCTTGTAGGTATATTGTGGCCTGTAGAATGATATAAATTTGATGTAAAGAGATGGGTATAAAAATTTAATTTATAATGAGTACATTATGTTGCATGTTTCTTTCAACAATACAGCACCATTCTGAAAATCAGCAAAAAATCCTCTGGCTTCGTATTCATGAAATGACCATGGCACAAGGATATCCTAGAAACAGTGTTAGAAGTCAAGACCTTAGGACCCTAAGGACATCCTAGCGCTAATATCGTGTTGAGATTAGCAGCCTAGTCCTTTTACTCTTCCTTGTCTAACAATTAACACAATCAGTCCATAATATTGTAGTCTGAATAAAAGATGATACCAGTCCATTTTGCTGAAAATCTTTTTGATCTTGATAATGGTAATTATGAAAAATTTGGAGATGGCAAAGCAAAAAAGTTGACCTTCAAGAAATTCTTGGCTAGGATTGAAATAAGTTCACTTACTTATCTTGATCAAGACCAAACTTGCCAGCGTTAGGTCTCGACAAATCTCTGATGATTTTTAAAAGACTCTCTTCCTGTTCACCAGGTTCAGCTATTCCTTCAGGTTCCTTGGTTGCTCTCACTATTAAAGCTTCTAATGCTGGTCTTAAAGCCACAATTTTAGCAGCTACATTAAAATCCATCTTAAAATTTATCCTGAAAAATGTTTTAATCAGAGTTAAAAATTTTCTGTGTAAGAACATGGCCAAATAAAGCATGGGTTACGCTTCTCACATGGCAAATAACTCTAAATATAAATTTTTCTATTTACCAGGGATATTTTTTTGTTCCCCGGTGCCAAACTTTAACTAGTTTTGATGTTGGGCCTCATCAATTGTGTTTACACTAGGGTTTCTAAGAGGGTTGAATGCACTTTAAAAACTTAGAGTACATTAACGTGTCACACTGAAACCGCTTTGAACCGCTCTTACCAAAACCCTTTTTCAAACCTTTTTCAACCTGGTTTAATGGAAGCGGGTTATCCATCATGCTTTCCGACAGGGAGTGTGACTGCTGTAATCAAAAAAGACAATTAGGGCAGTAGCTATTTACACACTCGCTTCTGTTCCAGGGCATGTGGTTATAGCTCTCTCATTGTGATGCGTTTTGTACTGCATCGAATAGCTTCAGAATGTATAGTGTGACACTACCAGATTGAAGGTGCTATATAAAATTGGTTTGATATCGCTTTCAGTGTGAACAGATACAAGTTTTATTTGAAACCTTAATGGAGATATATTTCTCTATAATTTGGAATCTATTTTGCTTAAAACTAGTTTAAGCTGCTTACTTAAAAATAGGAACAGTCTGTTTTTCATGTAAATAGCATGTTTTATAAAAAAAGAAAATTTTCTAGGTATAACATAAGATATATCTTGATACTGCCCCTTTAATCAGATTGTCAAAAGTTAAAAGCTCACCATCCATCTAGTACAATTAGTTCTCCTTCTAAGTTCACATTTCTTCCTCCAAATAACAACAACTGTATAGTAGTTACCATTGTCATTTGTTTACAAGATACTGCACGTGTTCGAATCTGGAAGAAAAACAATTTTCAATAAAAAGACAGGTCAGGTGATATACACAGGTGTATGGTATGTTTTGAATCATGTAACAACACGTCTGGGTCATCTTGAAATGTATTGTGGCTGTTGAATGCATTAATTTTGATTCTTACAGACGATGGATCTAATGTCACATTTACAGGAGTTGAAGTTCAAATTTAAACGTCCTACTTTTCTGCTCTATATGGGCTAATAAAGACGGGCAACTTCAAGCAGGGTGCAATGAGAGAAATTTTGCCAGAACAGCGGCATTAGCCTGCTCTTTTTCAATTTCCAACTGTCAAGGGATCTTTAACATACACAGCCTGTAGCGCACGGGGACGCTTTTTCCATGTCAGCCCCTCTTACCTCCATCACTGACAGGGGGAAACCGGGTTAAAAAATCCTAAGGTATCATCTCAACCAATGGCGGAATTGAACCCTGCACCTTCAAGTTAGCGAGCAAACGTCTTACTCACTGAGCCACCGTGGCTCCCTAAAGGATTTTGAAACAAGAACAAATGTATAGAGGGCCTCCCCCAGAAATTTCTGAAAATCATATAGTTCAAAACGACCCTATTTACTGACATTTCGAGAGAGAGTTTGATAAATTATAGATATTATTAATTCCACTCTGTTGCTTGAGTCCTGTAACCGTTTTTGAGCACCGAGTTATACATTTTTATAATCATATAAATAAGCCACAAGAAGTTGTGCCGATCTGCACCCATGATAGTGTAACAATCACCAGTATGAAATATTCAACCTTCAGTCATACACTTATTTTGGACTTTTTGAGGTGATACTGAATAATATGTCAAAGTCCGGCAAGAATTGTTCCATGTTCATCTACAAATAAAGATGAAGGCATATTACACCATGTTCACTTACCTTTTCACCAAATATAAAGTAAGGAGATGGAAACTTGATTTCTTGATTACTACAGTTGACTGAAGATTTGTGAACCAGGGCAGCTTTAGATTCCTGTGTTAAAACCTTACGTTTCTCTTTATGATAACAGACATTAGGATATAAACCCATACATAATAACGTTATTACCTAAAATAAATAGAAATTGGAAAAGGTTGTTAGGTAAAGAGGTTTTCTAAATTTTTTATGTGTATCAGGTACACTGATAACATCAATTTGCACCATTTCAATTTTTAAACATCTGTGATTCCTGCAATTCCACTTAAACTAAATGTTTGATGAAGTCACTAATCGGGAGGGGCCGTATGTGATGAAGCATATTTTGTGATTAGTGACGTCATCAAAAACTTAGTTTCAGTGGAATTGCAGGAACCACAGACGTTCTTTTCTCCTACAGGTAATGAAGAAAATCATAGAAATCATATTTTCAGTACCAAATCAAACTGTTGGCGCCAGCCTCCCGACACTGAGAGTATAAATAAGGGACAGACTTACTTAATGGAGGGACATTTGTCAAGGGTGATTTCAAGATGAAGCAACTCTGTGGAGGTTCTTGCCACTCATGGAGTGTCTGGGAGGAAGAAAATCACCGGCCATTGATGTGACATACTGTAGTTAGTGTAGTGAACAGAAAAAAATTAAGTCTTACCACATCTAATCTATTATCAGGTCCAGTAAAACTAAATGTCTGTGGCATCAAACTTTCTTCTGGAAACCCAACATTCACTAAAATATCTCTCAATTGATTCTACAATGAAGATAATCATTATCTGATAATGTCATGCTAAAAAAATTTTATTAAATTTTTTAAATGCGAGGCAAACCTGTTGAAGAGTAATAAAATATAATGTAACATAGCATGCCAAGCAAGATAACGATACGTCCACATAGTAGCTATGTTAAATTTTTGGAAAATGAAAATTTTGTAAATTGTAGAACCTAATACTTTATTTTTAAAGTTAAAAGCAGAAAAAAAGTACTTTTGTTACAAATTGGACGAAGTATTGACCTATTTTCATGTAAATCCTTATGAGTGACGAATGCATACTTTGTGAGTTATAACAAATTTCAAATATAGAAGGTAAATGCGAATCTACTTCATTAATTGTGTTGTCTGTTATCATGTGTAAAATGTAAAACACATAACAAGGAAATAAGAGAAATTTTGGCTCATGCTTATTAATTTTTATCTTTGATATTATTTATTAACAATTAATCCTCTTCCTGAACAAACAATAACACTTACCTTAGCTTCACATGTCATACGTAATGTAGTCATTGACAAAGATTTCTGATCACAAAAATACATTTCATTATCTTCACCTCCACATCTATAAATATACAAATCATCATTATTATAGTAACATTTCATTATCTTCACCTCCACATCTATAAATATACAAATTATCATTATTATAGTAACATTTCATTATCTTCACCTCCACATCTATAAATATACAAATTATTATTATTATTATAGTAACATTTCATCATCTTCACCTCCACATCTATAAATATACAAATTATTATTATTATAGTAACATTTCATTATCTTCACCTCCACATCTATAAATATACAAATTATCATTATTATAGTAACATTTCATCATCTTCACCTCCACATCTATAAATATACAAATTATTATTATTATAGTAACATTTCATTATCTTCACCTCCACATCTATAAATATACAAATTATCATTATTATAGTAACATTTCATCATCTTCACCTCCACATCTATAAATATACAAATTATCATTATTATAGTAACATTTCATTATCTTCACCTCTACATCTATAAATATACATATTATTATCATTATTATAGTGACATTTCATTATCTTCAACTCCACATCTATAAATATACAAATCATCATTATTATAGTGACATTTCATTATCTTCACCTCCACATCTATAAATATACAAATTATTATCATTATTATAGTGACATTTCATTATCTTCACCTCCACATCTATAAATATACAAATTATCATTATTATAGTAACATTTCATCATCTTCACCTCCACATCTATAAATATACAAATTATCATTATTATAGTAACATTTCATTATCTTCACCTCCACATCTATAAATATACAAATTATCATTATTATAGTAACATTTCATTATCTTCACCTCCACATCTATAAATATACAAATTATCATTATTATAGTAACATTTCATTATCTTCACCTCCACATCTATAAATATACAAATTATCATTATTATAGTAACATTTCATTATCTTCACCTCCACATCTATAAATATACAAATCATCATTATTATATTCAAATTTTATCTTTAACTTTCATGAATGCACAGGCCGAGAGTAGAAAAAATATTATATTTAGGAACTGAAAAAGAAGCTATCAGATGGCTTCAAATATCTGAACTGATGTTTTCTGGTGTTAGAAAGAATACTTGAAAAGTTACACGATTTCATTTAGAAACATTAAAACAAAACCAAAAAAAGAGTCTCACGCTATGTGATCTTCAAATGACTTATCTATTTCAGCCTGCCTTCTACTCAAGTAGGATTTATTCTTGTGTCTACATTTCGAGACAAGTTCGGAAAGATTTCATTGAGATATTTTTACATACCTAGCTTCTTCCCACATTCCAAAAGCATTTAACAAAGCCACATGATCACTGCAACGATTTCCAGCTAAACTTTTGTGCACCCAACCTAATCTTCTTCTGTCAACCTGTGTTACAAAAGGTTCTGGAAACGTTGTACTTGCAGCAATAGTACACATAGCATCTCCTACACTGAAATTCAAATAACATTCCTCTAATATTTTCCTCTAACTAACCCGAGATGCATCAAGTTGAAAAATCTTTATCAATTAATCTCATTAATGGTTAAATCAAACTTATTTGACTTAGCAAGCAGTTAGACATCTTTCATTAACTATGCCTCATATCCAGAAAAAGATGGGAAGTATGCTTCACTTTATCCAAATAACTTTGTATGAAGCAGTGAATTTTAACTTATCAAAATAAAATGTTTCATACAAGAGGAATTGCCCTTACTCATAAATCATTCAAGTATTTCATCTGTGTTTTCATATTTTAAAAAAAAATGCAGCCCCTTCTGTGGTTCCTGCAATTCCACTAAAACTAAGCATTTTATGACCTCAATAATCGCAAAGCACTTATATGATAAAGCACATTTTGCAATTAGTGTCTGGTTGAAAATTTGATTTGGGCAAATTGATGCTATCAGTGTCGGTGAAATGCATAAAAATTCAGAAAAACTCTTTATAATCCTAATTTTATTAATAAGAAGAAAATTCACAATATGAACTTCATGTAAAGGATATACTCACTAGAAAATACATCCATAAATAATCATTTTTCCAAGTCGTGGTTCAATTGGCATTCTAGCTAAAATTCTACCCAATGGTGTTAATTCATCATTACTGTCTAATGCTCTCATTTCTATAAAAAAAAAAACACAAAATTTTAATTTTCATTTGAAAGACAATGAGCATATCAACCTTTGGTCTATGGTTGTGTCAAATCCCTAATAATGGTATAAAAGTTGGGCAAGATAAATAATAATTGATCTAACTTAAAGGGATTGTAAAGAGGTTTTCTAAATTTTGTATGTGTATTAGGGACACTGATAGCATCAATTTGTATCATTCCAATTTTCAATCAGACGTCTGTGGTTCTTGCAATTCCACTAAAACTAAGTGTTTAATGACGTCACTAATCTCAAAATAATCTTTATCACATTAGGGCTTTCAGGATAGTGACGTCATCAAACACTTAGTTTATAGAAGAATTGCAGGAACCACAAAAGATTGATTAAAAAGGAATGGTGCAAATTGAAGCCATCACTGTCCCTGATCCACATTTAAGTTAGATCAACTATTAATTATCTTAAATATTAATTACTTTTGTATGTTATTACATAACATTTCCAAATCAAATCCATGAATTGCTAAGCATTGAATAAAATTAAAATATGCCAAATAATTTGAATTTTATTTTACTTCCAATTTTTACTACAAGAAGTGAACTTACGTCTTAGGGTAGCCTGGGCCTCAATAACAGCATCTAATGGTGGAGGTTCTACTGCTTTTGCTAAGAAAGTACCAATTTCTCCTAATCTCAATAACTTAATAGACAGTGCACATTCATGTAGAGGAGTTCGGAATATCTCTGGTGTGGTATGTTGATCCAACCTGAAAGAAAAATAAGAAATATTAATTTTTACTTCTTACTGCTTCATATATTAGACGAATGTAATATGCAATAATGAAATACAACAATGTCCATTTGTCTAAGAAAATTACTAAATTAAAGGTAGGTCTATACTTCCTCTTAGGATGACCAAAAAATAAATTTTCAAACTTGGCCAAAATAAGTCTTTGTTGTGGTGTCAAAACTATATGACACAATCCCTCCATAATCTAATAAACCCATAAAACTATTGCATTAAACTAATGGTGCGGGCACACAAGTGGTCTTGTCAGAGACAATTATCAAACTTGTTTTATATTATAAAATCTGTCGGCGACATGATAATCTTGTTGTGGAAGCATGGGCACACGCAAGATTTTACTCTAGATATGAGTCGGAGACAAAAATCTCCGACCAAGACAGCTCCTGTGTCCGCACCTTTAGTCATTTTAAAACATGGTTAGAATGTTGTTAGGTGCTAATTTGTGCCTCAGAGATGACTGGCTTTACAACAGTGATAAATATCATTTATAATACATTTAAACTTACTTGTCATATCTGTTTCTACTACACAAGTGAAAACAGAAGCCTGGTCTAACACGTCCTGCACGACCTCGTCTTTGTTCTAAATTAGTCTTGGATGCCCAGACAGTGGCATAATTAGTCATATTATTATGAGAGGTAAACAACTTCATTTTGGCTCTGAAAGTACAAATCAAATAAATGAATTGTATAAGAAACTGTAAGATATCTGTCAATTTATTTTAAAAAAAACTAGAAAGAAAAAATAAAGAGGCATTCCGGTTTTTTTTTGTAGGTCGAAAAAAAATTTGTCCTCAAATTTGTTAAAACCATATACCAAAATCTATAAAAATGTGTCCCTCAACATATCTGGAAGTTTGAACTAAAAATATCCAGCCATTCATTTTTCACCGCCAAAATTACTGTAAAAATTTCTTAATGTTTGTTATGCTTTTTAGAAGCTGTTAGAAAACAACGGCAAACTTGTAGAGAAATATGTCTCCTACATATTGTAAAGATTTCAAGTAATAATTATGAAGCCAAACCCTTTTAAAACAAATTCAGTTTGATCAAGAAGATAGCATACTTTAGAAGTATATTCAGGTATAATTTTCAATGTTTTTGATAATGAAAATTATTTACAAAAAAAAGTGTAATGCCCTTTAGTTTCCCTTTTTAGCTTACATAATCAGTAATAGTGTTCACAGCTCATTGTCAAAATCTGAGCCTTCAAATCCATGTGTATCCACAATTATTCACGTTGGAAAGTTAAAAATTCAACTCAAATTTTAGTGAGACTATGCCAGATATAGAGAACACATATTTAGGAATAGACAGTGAAATTTCTAGTTTGAGGTATATTTGAAGGGATTATGCGATTTCAGTGCGTTTTAGTACTTTTAAGACTATTAAAGCACAATAAAGACCCAAATCAATCCCTAAAAATGCTGACTGTATTCCTTTAATGCATTTGATTGAAAGACATTGCAATACACAATCTAAGGAAACAAGCTACAAATTTTGTGACAATGACCTGAATTTTGTCTTGTGTCAAACAGTATAGATGCAAACCATAACACATTAAAGTACTCACTTGCAGGAATCTATGACATAAACAACATCATTTATAGTCACACTAGTTTCAGCAATATTGGTAGAAAGAATAATCTAAAAATGTAACATCTTTAATTTTAAAAATTCAATCTAATTAACAATTAAATTACAGTTTCATATATTTTTTCTGATATTTTCAGTCTACATTGCAATCTGAAGTGTTTTCTACCTAAAACCTGTCCCAATGGTAGTATTTATCCAATCAAAGGGAAAAAAATAAGGGAATTGTGGGAAAGAGAAACCCAAAGAACAAGCTGTATACAACTTTTGTAATATACTTCTTGATGGTCTACACAGTTTATCAATTGAAACATTCAATTTTTTCCTCTTGATTTATTTACATAAATTCCCACAAAAATCGAGAATCCTAGATTCGGGAGTAGAGCAAAAAGAGTTCTATGACGCACAGGGGACTGCTCAACATATAAATATAATACGTAAACAATATGAATAGAAATGTACCTTAGTCACATCTGGTGGGACCGGGTCAAACACACGTCTTTGATCTTCTCTTGGAATCTGAGAATGTAAGGGTAATACACGATATTTGTTGGTTCCTGCAATCATTAAATACATCATTATTAGATTTTACAGGTGGAAATAGTGAAACATCTGTCTATTTTTGACCGTGTCAATTTGGATTTTGTCATCAAACAGGCTGTAAGTATAAATAATAATAAAAATATTGAATATAATTAAAACTTTTTTTTTCACATAACTTACCAAATTCTTGACTTTGTTCAAGATATTTTTGTAGTGCCATGATGAGATTCCATCCTGGTAAAAATATTAATACTGCACCAGGTATATTCAATCCTTTAATATATCGTAATAATGCCTGAAAGTTAATTTCATAGTCTGTTATACTATAAGATACCCAATATTTACTTACTTACCTTTTCATTCTCATCTCTTCAGAGATCATTAACGTTCAAACATACAGATTGTTTTTTTTTTAACCCTCAACACTATCTTGGTGATGGCCGCTCTAATCACTACTGACAAATAGAAGCTAGATGGAGCCCAAACCCTTCATAAGTAAGCCAATTCCTAAAAAAAAATAACTTGAGGCAGATGACCACTCAAGGAATGTTATAACACTGACGACATTGTCGATCCCATGACATTCTCAACACATTCCAGAACAGATCGCAGACCTTGGCGCTTATTTTGAATACAAAAAACGCGGTGACTCAGCGAATATGGTCGACAACTGCATGATGTCCTACACAATCATACCATGCTTATGGCAACATTAAGCTAATGTTCTGTCGCAGTAGCAGCGCAGTATGAACGCCTTTCCAATGTGACGGGGCATAACAGATTATGTATGAACTTACAACCACACATAATTTATGAAGGCTTTGTGAAAGGATAACCAGGGCAATAACTAATAAAACCCTTCATTGACAACTACAATACATATATTTGTCAACTAAGAGGCTGAATACCATAGTTACCTCAATCAATTCAAAAGACATTTCTTTTTCATTCAACATTTCCATAGCAGCTCTTGTTGATGGTGAATATTCATTACTGATATTAACATTACAATTTTCCTGAAATATAATTTACACTTTTCTTACAAAGAAATCACTTTCAACATGAAAATATTTGTGTTTCTTTCGAATTAAAAAGTAAAGTAAGTATGTGAACATCTATTACATTACTTGTAAACATTGTGTAGATAATCTTATCTGGATATTATTACCAATATAAATTCTAGTATTTATCATGATACCTGTATATCACCCAGGACTACACTGTTTGAAATGTTATTTAAAGGGACAGATGTACCATTTTGGGGGGTTGATTTAAGTCCAGAAATGTATGAAAATCGCATAATTCTGTGAGCTGAATTCATAAGCTCTGAAAACTGTTACTGATCTAAGATACGATTGGTAATGTTAATGACCCTCACAGTACATGTAAGAAACCTGTCCACTAGATTTGTAAGAAATTTTTTTTTTTTTTTTACCTCTTTTTCATCATCAGCAGGTCCATCTGCACTCTCTCCACCCCTTTTTCTTTTCCTGTCAGGGGGAGGTGGAACAAAATTTAACATCTGTACACAATCTTCTAAGAAATAGTCTGAAATAGCAAGAGAAGATATCTCTTCATAGTTATCTTTTACTTCCAATCCACAGAAGACGGTTCTAAAAACAAAAGGAAAAGAATGAATGTTAATATGTTGATACAGTATGATAGAGTTCATCATTAAATGACAACAAACATTCATAATGCATTATTTGTCAGTTATTTAAGATTTCCAGAAATTATTTTTTAAGCAATAGCAATAATCCAAAATATATCAAATCAGTGTTCTCATGATAAAATATTAAAGGTATTTTAGAAGTTAAGGGCAATAACTAAAAAATAAATCAAGAAATAGTCAAAATTCAAAGTTGATCAAGATCTCATTAATATAAATGATCACACCAAATTTCATTAAAATCGGATGAAAACTGTAGTCTCTATTGAGTTCACAAACAAATTTTAACTCGTTTTTCCTAAGTCAAGGGCACTAACTTAAAAACTGGCAATTTCGCACTTGTCCAAGATCTCATCAATATTATATGATCACACTAAATTTCTAAAGGAAGTCTATATCATTCACAAGCCAGTTTTTACATGTTTTCCACCAGTTAAGGGCTTCACTCTTGAGATCTAATTAATATGCATCTGATATGCATTGTCCAGTGCAAAATAAATCCATAAAACATGGTGTTAAAACAGGCCTCCTCTAATAGAAAACTAATGAAAAGACATAAAAGAGGCTTACCTTGAACAGGGTGAGCTCTTCCATAAACCTCTACTACCTGACAGTTATCAAAATAATCACAAAACAATGAAGTATCCACTGTGGCTGACATCAAAACAACACGTAACTGAGGGAAAGCATGAATCATATCCCTTAACATAACCAGTAGAAAATCAGTCTAAAATAAACATTCAAATTATCAACTATAATCAAATATAACAGAAAACACAAGGGAATATATTATTGTATAATACACTTCTTATATAACAAAGTACAAAACATTGCAACACTTCAAAAGAATACCATAATAAATTCTCTTCAGTTCACTTAATGTGTTCTCAGCTTCACCAACATTGTCCCAAAATCATCAATTGGGATAAAAACTCTAAAGATTTTTCTCATATAGATAGCCACACAAACCATAATTTACTCAAATTAACAAACAGGATGATACAGATCAATTTTCAAGAGTCAAATGTATATCATCCCATCCCAATTTTTGCGTAGTGGTTTAATAATATGATAAAGATGCTGTGAAGATTCTTACACTCTGTTTTTTTATTTTTTCTTTGATGCAGGTAAGAGGGATTGACATGGAAAAAGCATCATTTCGTTTAGATGGTACAATAAACTGAGGCCCTGTGTGCTACAGGCTGTTCATATTAAAGATCTCTGAACAGTTGGAAATCAAAAAGGGCAGTTGTTTCCTCATTGCACCCTGTATGGCGTTGCATGCCTTCATTAGCCAACAAATCAAAAAGTTTTTTGAATTTTTTCGATATTTTTAAGAAAATTGGTATATCAATCTCAAAATAGTACTGCTAGTCTT